TCATCGCTTTTTCAGCCGGTTCTCGGGCTGCCCAGAGTTGTAACAGGTGGCAAGTGCATTAGCCGTCTGCATCCTCCACCGGAGGTCGCACAGGATGCGATCGCTCGATCCTTCCCGTGAGCAATCTCCCAATTTCTCATCGTTCCCGACGTAACTTATCGCATTTAGAACTCCATGGATTATAGACCGTTATGCCTCTCCTAATTTTTCCAGATTCTCCCGTTAATTTTACGTTAAAGCGCCGATTCTGGCTTTGAAATAAGGAAAAGAGCTAAATGAAAGAAATGTGTAGAGGTTTCATCGAAATCCCGTCGATGGCAGCACTGTAGTATTCCTGCAATTACTCCCTGAATATCCGAACTCATTTCTCATCGACTCGAGATTTCGATTGCAGGTAGAATCGATAAAATATCGAGGTATATTGAGTTTGATGATTCTCGAAATCACTCGGAATTGCTCGGAATCATCCGGTGACAAGTCCGTGTGCGCCACGTCCGTGCCGACATAGGCCGAAGATAGTTTGGCGCATGGTTACATTAGCCGGTAAACGTCGGAAATTGAAGTAAGAATTTTAAGGCTTCAAAACGGGAGTCGTAAGACAGAAAATATGGTACGAAACACGTTAAGTGGGTCTTTAACGCTTTGGGCAATACTTCTCGTATTGTTCAGCCTTCGTCCAGTTGTTCCGCAGGAGGTGTCGGACATTACGATTAAAAGTGTCGACAGAACTATCGACTTGCAATCATCACTGACAAAAATCACATCAAAGATCACTTTGGAGAATACCGGTGAGAATGTGGTAAATGGTTTTTTCTTTACCATCGATCCCACAGAGAAGGATAACCTTAGTTTTATAGACGCCCATACGTATAGAGAACCTAATCGCGCCGAGTTGAAAGTAACGGAGAAGAAAGTCAGCAAGCATCCTGACAAATACTTTTTCTGGATCGATCTACGACAGCCACTTACTGTGAAACGAACGGTTGCTGTAGAAATCGAGACCATTTTCACTCATCGACTGGTACCATATCCTAAAGAAATAACGCAGAAAGAGAAGCAACTGGTGCTCTATAAGGGAAATGTCTACTTTTATTCTATATATCCTGTAACAAAGCAGAGTACGTCGGTGATTCTACCATCGCGTAACATTGAAAGCTATTCCAAGATTAAACCTGTTTCGCAAAGTGACTCTACGGTTACATATGGCCCATTTGAGAAACGTCCTCCATTTTCGAACGAAGAGATTATGGTACATTTTGAGAATAATAATAAGTTCCTTACCATTACCAAATTGGAGCGTACCATTGAGATATCTCACTGGGGAAACATAGCTGTCGAGGAAACCATTGATTTGTTGCACACTGGAGCTGTGCTCAAAGGGTCCTTTTCAAGATATGAATATGCACGTGAGCCAGAATCTAGCCGGTCCAGTGTACAGAGTTTTGATACCATTCTACCAGCAGCTGCTTCCGATATTTATTATAGAGACGACATTGGTAACATTTCTACCTCTCACACTCGTATTAAGGAAGATTCCGTAGAGTTGAATTTAAGGCCACGATTCCCTCTATTTGGAGGATGGAAAACACGTTACACAATTGGGTACAATTTACCTAGTTATGAGTATCTGTTTCATTCAGGAGATCACTATGCCTTACAAATGAGAGTGTTAGATCATATATTTGACGACATGGTGGTGGATGAGTTGGTTCTTAAAATTATATTGCCAGAAGGTTCGCGCAATATACAGTTGAATCTTCCATATCCTATGACTCGACTTCCAGACTCTCTTCATTACACCTACTTAGATACCACTGGTCGTACAGTAATTACTGTAACCAAACAAAATCTAATTGAGAACCATATTCAAAACTTTAGGTTAAGATATACATTTCCACGGCTGTTAATGTTACAGGAACCTCTGCTCGTAGCACTGGCACTCTATCTCTTATTCTTAATGGTCATAGCTTATGTTCGTCTGGACTTTTCCATAGATAAAGATGAAGTTTCAGAAAGCAAGTTGCGTATCGCAGGGCAATGTGAAAAGATCTTGGCTGCTCAGGATCGAAGGGTTTCTTCGTACAATGATTTCGATGACCAGCTAGTTTATTTGAAAACAAACAAAGACGTCAATGCATTTCAGTCTACTATTAAAAGTATAAATCAAGAGTACAAGAACGCGACAAATACGATTTCGGAGCTTGCTCAGAAACTCAAGGGAGAATCCGGTGATGTCTACGATCGTATACAAGAGTTGCAGAAACATGATCACATGCTGAAGGAACTCTATAACCAGCAACAGGACTTTTATATCAATAAATTGATACCAGGAAAGATTGGAAGGCAGCAATTCATCGAAGCCGAAGCATCCATCTCTAAAAAGAAAGAAGAGTGCGTTGAGAAAATCAATCTTATCGTTAAATCACTCCAGTAATGCGACATTCGCGATTGAACGTCTTGTTACAGTCACACCTAGTTGAGGTTGACACGGTGCATTTGTAATTATCAGAGTTGCGGTATCGTTCCCGATACATTAAGCGAACATTTGGGCGTGCAGTGATTCTGTTTCATGGAAAGCATTTTATCTATAAATAATTTTACGTTATTGAAGTACAGTAGTACAATCACTTTCGCAATACTTAAACTTTGTAATAAAATGAATTTTGAAGACAATTTCAAATTCTTTCTCAGCGCCCAAAACATCCTCGGTGTTAACTCTTTAATGAGTGTTCTAAACATGAGCAAGGTATTTTATTAAAATACGGGTAGCATGATACAGAATTTTTGTTGAGCGTGTATTTCAATTGGCTTAAGAAATTGGCAAAAAGAATTGAGAATACCTTTACTTATTAATATGAAATTACAAAAGATGAACAATAAGCTTGATTTGTTCGATCGCGGTCGATACGGAGTAATGCATGCGCATGCGTCCCGACGTGGACGCATCCTTGCGCATCGGCAAAGTGAAACCTGGACGGATCGTCTTACTTGCAGCATGTGTTGGGCCATGTCGAGCGCTTGGCCGGTTAGACAATTGGGTACCTGCTAACCTGTCAAAACTCAGATAATTCTCGACCCCACGGTTTAATGAACGGGACTAGGATGATAAATTTACGAAAGTTTATAGGTAATGTATCCTTACTTTCCCCCCTTCGTTCGCTTCGGAGATCGGCGACCTGTAAGAGGTTATAATTTGACAGTAGACTATTTCTCGTGTTCCATGCGTAGATATCGGGGCTAATTTGACGGATCCAATGTATCAGGGTATTTATCATGGGTCCCAAAAGCACCAGCCGGATTTAAATCACGTCCTCGAGCGCAGTTGGAACAATAATCTTTCAAAGATTATAATTACAGCTAGCAATGTCGAAGAGAGCAAAAAAGCCCTTGCCTTGGCCAGAACGGATGGTAATTAAAAGCTCGTTTATGTATAATTGATACTTAAGTGATTCGATTCAATGGTACCGATGTTATGGTTCACTGCAGATAGGTTATTCTCGACCGTTGGATGTCATCCAACACGTTGCGGGGAGTTTGAGGAATCTGGTGATCCAGAGGCTTATCTAGAATCGCTGTGCGATTTAGCTTCCAATAACAAGGATAAGATTATTGCGATAGGGGAAATGGGTCTAGATTATGACAGGTTACAGTTTTGCTCAAAAGATGTTCAAAAGAAATACTTTGAGATGCAGTTATCGATGTGTTCTACTTTGAAACTACCAATGTTTCTGCATTGTCGAAATGCATCCGAAGACTTTGTTCGAATCCTGAGAAAACATAAAGATAAATTGACGGCAGGTGTTGTCCATTCATTTGATGGTAATCCAGAAGATGCTAATAATATTTTGCAGTTAGGGTTATACATTGGTATTAATGGATGGTAAGTAACGCTGCTTTTGTTTAAAAGTTAAAAAATCTAAATGCCATTATCCCAGATCGTACCTTTCAGTTCTCTTAAAACGGAAGAAAACCTTTTTGCCGTTACTACCATTCCATCGGATAGATTAATGATCGAAACGGATTGTCCATGGTGTGAAATCAGGCCTACACATGCTGCCGCTAAACATGTTATTACTCATTTTCCCACCGTCAAGAAAGAAAAATGGCAAGCCGATCGAATGGTAAAAGGACGAAATGAACCTTGCACCATAGTGTAAGTACACGATGTTTAATATATTCAACTCTGTGTGCATATAATTACATTTTTCATTTTTACTGTGAAAATATTGCACATGATTTTCTATTAATTGTAGACAAATTTTGGAGATATTGGCACGCGTTAGGGATGAAGAGGAGGAATACCTGTGCAATCAGATATACAAGAATACTATGAAGCTCTTCTTTCCATACGAGTTGTAACGCGCATATACTCTTGATAAAATATTCGAATGGGCAGGTTCACACAGTCGACGTGCTCGAGGATGTCTTGCAACTTATCCAAAGATCGATAGCTAATGTGCAAGGAGTGCATTGGATGGTACAGATTGTGGTTGAACTATGACGATTGGAATGGAACTGCTATTCACCGCCATCTATTCGGACTGCATGAGCGTGACTAGCTCCTCACGTTCCATCCGTGTCTTCTAGCATAAATCTTAATTTATTCTTGCTAAGGTTGATCATCATTATCATCATTGTCATAATTACTAATATTGCATTTACCTAATGCTATAACTGTACGCTAAGTTTATTACTTTTTTCACTGTTGATACCATATACCGTATCGCAATATTACTGTACGGATACTATTACACTTACATAATTACTACCTAAACTTCTTTCACTCTTAATTTAAGAGAACTTTTGAGAAAAGTATTTATTTTATTTTTACTCAGTTAATATGCTACAACCCACAAACATAATACATGAACAGATATACAAAATACTATGTTTCGAATTGATGCCGATTGCAAGTTGTCACAAAGTTAAAGTGACCGAATCGCAGTTTATAAATTGTCGAAATCTTGTGGGTTAAACATGATACATTGTCGCACCTGGCGATCGACTGTCTTAACAAAATTGTTCTTGTTACTTCTTGAAACAAAATATTTTCTTGATTCTAAATTCTTCCAAAGTATCACAGGGAAAAATGGCTGTTGCAATGTTCTTTGAAGATGCGCAACCTTTTGACTCCAGTGTCTAAAGAATAAATGCTGAGGTATGGAGGAGTTTCAATTATCGACAGAATCGTCGTTGGTCACACGTTGGTAAAAGCTGCGCTTCATTGAACTTTCGAGAATGTCTGCACCTTTTCGTAAACCCAGTCGTATGTCTGACTGGCAAGTGTATGCGTCTTGTCGATCGCTCGAGTGGCATAACTTTGGAGATTTTCTGCACTCAATTTACCCCTGAAATGAAACAGCGATCATTCTCGAGTTGGTTTCTTCTTAGAAAAAGATACTAACGTAAACACATTGCTTTCTAGCCATTGGAATAGTATCCTTGACTGTTCAACCACCCCATCTGCAATCACGGCGGAATACGTTTTAATAAGCTCTATCACTCGAACTCTATATCCGTCCAAGTCCTCCAGTACCCCAGGAATATAATGATCGATCTACGAATCAAGAACAAAGTTCCTAAAATCTGAAACGATATCAATGCAAACTTAAGGCTTACCTTTGCCGCAATCTCAGGTCCTTTTATATGCACATATTCCACGGTGTTATTATACAACTCTCCGGAAATATTCCTAATGACCAAATACACGTCCCCAAACAACTTGACATAGGACGAGCTCCAAGTAACGGCGATCTTATAATATTCTGGCGAACTAGCTTCTATAAATTCCAGTCCTGAATTGGAATAAACCTTTGCTGTGGACCAGACTCTCTGGGCGTGCTCTATGGCTCCGCTCTCCTTTAGGAATCTTCCGGTGCTAGAAGCTACGCAGAAAACGTTAACTTGTATTAAAATCTCTTTAAAATACCAAGATCTGCAACGAGATCGTACAAATTGCCATACCTTTGAATGAGCCATGCCTTTGACAGTCAAACGCGAGAACGGCTCCGATAAGGACCAGCAATAGTAAGCTTCCTTTTTTCCAGGGGAAGCGTCGTTGCGATACCGTCATTTTTCTCGTCAATATCTGGAAAACAATACTTCTCGTTGGTCACCACGACATTCGTCAGACGAATTAAGAAATTACGAGAGCTGTCCTGTACGGCGCACCCTCTCGACGCACAAAACGGACAGAGTCCGGAATCTCGCCGATTCTACGTGAACCTATCAACGAGTGACGCGCGAAAACCAGTCGCACCTTTTGACCCCGACTCATCGTATTATCTTACCTTGTCGATCGTACGTGGTAACCGCCAACTGTTGCTGGGCGTAACTTTGAGCGTTTAATGTACAATGTAATGGAATAACGCTCATACGTACTTGCGACAAACACGGCGTAAATAGAAAAAACCGGAGCCCATCGACGTTCTGATGTATACACGGAAGGAGAAAGCACACGCAATCGATATCGCGCTTTCCTAGAGCTAACCTAACCTGATGTAACTGAACGCGCGCATACGGTTACGAAACTCACGTATCCCCTCCCCGTGCCAACTGTAAACGATGTTACACGTAATATGGATGGCAGTGTTTATTCTATCTACACCATTCGCAAGTAACACTATTTATCTCCATTTTACGGACGTGATATAAGGGACCGGTGCTGTCACCTGTACTGTTCAAAATCGACTTCATGGCACGAACCATGGCCACTTCACGGACTTTCAAGGAGAATTTGTTTGACAGTAATTATCACTGGTTTATCAGTATGTATAGTAATTCTTTTTAAGCGTGATATTTCCACTTTTGTTACATACTATCGACAGTATTAGACTTGTTTTGTATAAGAAAGTTTCATGGTACATGATTTTAATTTATAAATGTTTGTGTATTTTAAAATTGCCTTATTTATTGCATTTGTATTTAAAGTAGGAGTAGCTCGGTAACGTTTCTCAATGTTCTATCGTGTTTAGTGGACGAAATTTAAAGCATTCATTATTTGAAATCATTTTGGCACAAATGAATCTATATCGTAAAAAGGATAAGCAGAAACTTAAAGAACTTACCTCGCATTGTTTAGCACACGCGCCAAGGTGCTCGTCCCTTCCCTTTGACTTTGTTTTACTCTCATTGTACGTTTGGAAAGCAGAGAGGGTTTCGCTCAGAGCTTTAGTCTTCAAATTTGGATACAGAATATCCCAATTGGACTCTGTGATAATAAATATTTACCTAATGGCTCTGGGCAAGTTGGCAGAAAAACGGTAATGTGTATACTCACCAAGATGTTTGAGCAAAAGGTTCGATTGGTACAAGTGTTTCGCATAGACAGATTTCCATACGGTATAGCAATTCACATCTTTAGAAAGGCAAGCGGCTAACGAATTCAGAATTTCTTCCCTGTAAGAGACGCTTGTTTTCTTCCCATTTACTAATCTGCCAAGTAAAGTATCAAATAATCTTCCATGATTTATGTTTCCATTTTTGAGCATGAGGTTCTAATTAAAAAAGAAAGGATTCAAATAAATAAATGGAAATTGAGAGTGGGATTGTTGTACAATGATTGTGCCCAAATAATTGATTACAACTGTACTAACTCTCAAACCATTAGTAGCGGATAAAATATCCTTTTCTACCGAAACGGGAACATTAAATTTTCCAGAATATACGTCATCAATTATAGTGAAGTACAGATCTGCACTAATATCTTTTGTATTGCCATATATGAAGATTAGATCATTCAAAATCTTTGCAACGTGAACTGCATAACTTTTCATTTCTATCATAGGTGCCATTACTTCATGCCATAATTTCAAGCCTATACTCAAATCCTTCCTACCACTCTGTAAAATTGTCCATATGAACGAAAGGCCAATTGACTTTCTGTTTTGGTATGAATTTCTTAGGCTGATTAACTTTGAAGCATTAACCAAGGCTATTTCAGGCCAATGGTATCCCATAAGTTGTAAAAAGATCTTGCATCCTACAACTGGTACGCCTTTCATTATGTCACTGGCCATGGATATAAGTGTAACTTCATAAAAAAGTTGAGTGTTTTGTGTTCCAGCAGCTTCCAAAGCTCTTTCCAATGTAGACTTGATTGAATTAGGCAGCACACAAAGGGGATAATTTTCAGGTTTGTCCGAAAATAATGGATCATCGCGTTCTACGGGTATCTTGACATTTAAAAATGCAAGAAGATCCTTCAACCAAATTAATGGAGCATCAGGAAAACGAACTTGATCGGTGTCCAATAAGTTCTGTAGTTCGTTTGCATCAATCTGTTAAAAAAAAAAAAACAGTTATATTTATAATTTTACCAACATTATACTAAGATTTAATTGAATTAACAGTTTGAAATGTAATAATTACATACAATATGTCTGTGAATGCCACGAATCTTTAAGATAAAGAAAGTTTGAAACTTACCCTCTTAACAGCTTCCTCTATAGTTTTTGGAGGTTTTTCTTTCCGCTCAGTTTTCTTTTTATCAGCCTGTTGTTGCTGCTGTAGCTGCTGCTGTCGCTGTTGCTTTTTCTTCTCCTCATTCTCTTTGGTCTTGCTTTCCTTCTCCTTAACTGGCTTTTTGTTCTCCTTGTTTCCATCCAAATTAACATACAAAGTCTTAACTTGGCTCAGCGGTACTGATGTATGAAAGTCACAACGATTCTTAAGTTAGATCCTTTCACCTCTATGAGATATCGGGAAAAGTTATTCGTCAACAGAGATTGGCACCTTTCGCAAATTGAAAGCCTATACTCGAGAAGCGTCGCAGGAAAGAAACAAGCTGGATGCTCGAGACTCGATCATATATCTACTCCGAAACGCAGTGAAAAGGGAAATATATAAAAGATCTAATTGAATCCATATTAAATAAAATCGACATTGCAATAACCATACATTAAATCGACTGTTATTAAACATCAGGAGGTACATATTGTAAGGATGAAAATCCTCGTTGAGACGTGAAATCACTTTCTATTCAGGTGATCGCAACTTACGGAAGTCCTCCACCTTCGGAGCATTTTCTATAAACTTTTTCTTCTCCGTCTTGGTCAGTTTATTATTCTTCGCGTTGCCTTTCTCCTTCTTGCTTTTACCAACGACTTCCCAACCGCCGGACGCCATCGCGCAGCTGTACGTATCAAACAGTCTCAAATATAAATTCGAAAACCCAAACAACACCGAATTCCACGTCGTTCCGCGCTCGAAGCGTCGCAAGGCACCACAAGGCACTAGTTGCTAATAGTTGACACGAGTACCTTTACCGATGACACTAGTGGCGCCAATAGCGACACTCATCGACACTCACGGCATAACCTCTAATAACGCCGATGCAATGGCGAACCGCCTAAGCGTCAACGCTTGGTACGTGGACGCGCATGCGCACGCCTCTTCTTGCCACGCGCTACTATTTGACAGTGCAAACTAGTCGCGTGCGTCCCGTGCCAACTCTTCTGCAGGGGCACGCACTCACTCTCTTGTACCGATTTATACTATCCAGCAGGGTTAGATAATTCCCCATCTTTCGAAGTTTTTAACATATATTACGTAAACAAAGTATTTTGCCGTAAAAAATCGCCGAAAACAAGTAAATTACATTTCCAATATGAAGAATGCCGCGGATGGTCGATATACGGTTTCTCCTAGGTTCTAAACGCCTTTTAACACACATGTAAATACGGAAATATTTTAAGGAACAATGAATTAATCTGGCGTTTGTATTAAAAATTGTTTAGAATTTTACGTTTATCAATATGGCGGATTCCGCAGATGCATGACGTATGTATCCGCGAGGATAACGTCTTTTAGCGCTCATATAAACACGTAAAAATTGTTAAGATATAATTAATTTGCCGTTTGCACTCAAAATTCTCTCGACTTAACCCTGTTTAATATAAAATTTCTAGTTGGATTTGTTATTTTATATTTAAAAAGAGAAGGGCGTAATGTACTTTACGCTCGCGTGGAATACTAGGGACATATACGTTGTAATGTACACGTAGAAAACCATGTATATTACATGATGTATGATATCTATTCAACTCTGCTATCTGGTCAGATACAACGCGGAAACGTAACGTTATCGTTCCGACAAAAGTAGAGGATACACTTATACTAGTTTAATTAATTAATAGAGTTTAGCTCAGATATTAAATATAAAAGCTTAATGACATTACAAACATTCTTGCCGGCAATGTCGGATGGTGCACGTATAAGACACGTCCTGTCTGATAATATAAGTCGACCGTTTTCCCCACTGTAAAGCTTTTCGAATACAATTCTTCTTTCTTTTCACTAATTTTCATATTTGTATGCATTTTAAGATCACTAGTCGATACTACGTGAAAGCGAACGATGACGCGTGGAAAGTAAATATAGTTTATGTATCTGCGTTTGTAATTTGCAGGTTTGCAACTCAGATGACTGGAATGATTTCGTCGAGAAGCAAGCTCCTAGCTGAAATGGCTGATTGGAATTTTCAATGATAGCTGTAAAATAACAACGGATGCAAAGATTAATTGAATAGCTCGTCGTTGGAACGGATATTATTCCGGGTATAAAGGGTTAACTATAAGGCCGCTTGCATACGTACCGGAAAAACTGGCGTCGGCACCGGCTTCCCTGCCAAGAACAATGTAACTTTCATTTATTTACATGATTACCACCGAAAAAAACGGTGGGGTGTAAACGGCGTAAGGGAAGCCCGACCTCTAAACATGGGACGGATAAATACCAACAATAAATTCATTAAAATTAAAATTTATGTGGTAGTATAAAGACTGCTAAAACGGTGGGTCCACATGTATGCCTTTGACGCTTAACGATACCTCATCTTTACTATTTTCTGTTAACAGTTCATCTCCCTTTTCTTATCAGTCGGCGTTACTTGCACAGATGTAGGCTGTTAAAAAAAAGAATATTACAATTTTATAACATTTTTGTCGAAAGTTTTACTCATACATGGTATACTAATTTAATAACGTATTTTCAAATAAAATGTATAACATGTATTACAAATTTATTACACATATGTGTAATAAATTTATAATATATGTTCTTCTATTAATTCACTGTTAAGACATCGAATTTATAATTTTACTGCAGCCTTGTGTACTAAAAGTGTATGAATTTAGTGAATTCTTTTAACGGCGTACGGTTTACGAATGATACTGGGATCCATGTTTATGACTCGTTTATACTTGAACTCGTGATATGTTTTCCAGTAAGCTGAAAACGTAAGCCGCATACATGTGGCTAAAAGAATAATGCCTGTACCATGGAGGGGCGTTTTGTGCATCTGGGGTTTCACATTACATGGGGCGTTTCATAGAGAATCCCAGCGTCAACTACACTCCGCCAGTAGATTCGAAATAGTCGCCTCGATTCGTCCGCAATGCAGTCCGTCTCACTTGTATTATTTGTTCTAGTGTCCAGAATCATTTCCGGGGGTTGTTTGACGGAACTCGAGGTCACCGAGCTGGGGTGCAAAGAAATCGAGAGCAAGTCGCCGACCCTACGGCTGAAGAGGCATCTCTTTTGCGATTACGACAGCACCGTCCGACCTGCGGATTCACATGGAAATGAGACGGCGGTGTACATCACGCTAATGCCAAAATTAATTGAATTCGTAATGTCTTATTTAAATTACTGGAATTACTCGCCGGATTAATAGGTCGTGACTTTTTTTTTTCTTTTTTCATCTTCTACCTTTGCAGAATGACCATGACGGCGTTCTCGTTCTTCACAGTTGGTTGTCAATCGTAAGTAGAGGACAATCTGCAATTAAATATTAGAGCTATTTTTTCTTTTTGTTTCATTTGCATGCGCTGATTAGTTAATTAATACTCACCATTTCGTGAAACGGCAATGTATGGTGGGATTATGTGGGATGGATCGCTATCACCTGTTTGCTTTTTTCTTTCCTTAGATTTGGGAAGATGCCCATCTTAAATGGAATCCCGAGGACGTCGGTGGACTGGAAAAAATTCATGTCCAGAGCGAAGAATTATGGACACCTGACATTTCCGTGTACAACTCGTACGTAATTTTATTAACCATAACTACCACGCGTTACTTATTACAATTTACTCAAGGTGATATATGAAAGTGGCGACACAGATGTCTCGTTTATGAAACTTTTCTCTATGTAAAATGTAAAAATTTGTTTATAGGTATTTTTTTTTAATTTTCTATTAAAAATGAAATTTCATGAGGTTCAAGACCTTCCTTATAGCCTTTACATTTACTTTGTAAAGTTTGAGAACGATTCGGTACACCCAGTTCGGAGAAAAGTTTCATGAACGACTGACTCTTCAGATGCCACTTTCACATCCCCTTAAGTAGTCGGCACGCTGGAAACAATTGCGATTAATTATCTAATAGGGGAGACATGAACGAAGATCAGAGCGGTTTACCTGCAACGAGATGTATTCTCGGCTATGACGGACAAGTGCATTGCGTCCCTGCAGTAAAATACACTGCGTCGTGCGATGCAGATTACAGGTTGTGGCCTTTCGACAAGCACAATTGCACCATTCATATTGGCTCATGGGCACACACTGGAGATGACATTGACTTCCATCTCCAAGGAAGCGACGTACGAATTTAACAATACCAGATCATACAATTAAGTGCATGGCTTTCAATGCAGAGGCTAGTTTAATAACATCCACTTTTGAGAATTGGGTATAAAATGGGTATGAATTTCCATGTTAAGGTCTTTAGAGTGGACTTTGTGGAAAATCGACAATGGGACCTGGAATCGATTACAGCCGTAAAAATAATACAAAAGTTCCCATGCTGTCCGAATGACACCTTCCCTTTGTTGGCCTACCACATCGTTATTAAAAGACATCACGATAGTATGCATGCCGTCTTCGTTACACCGGCAATCAGTACGTATCATAAATGACTCAAAGATCATTTAACAGGTCCATCTTTTGAATAAATGTTTATCCGACTTCTAGTATTGATACTGTTAACCATGACCGTATTGTGGCTGGAACCGAAATCTACAGAAAGATTAGCAGTTGCTTGTATCAGTTTTATTTGCCACCTCATCTGTATACAGGATCTCCAATGGATGTTACCGCCTAATGGTGGTACAGCTCCTTACATATGTAAGTACAAAGAAAAAAAAAACGTTTCCCAAAAGCCTGAATGCAAGGTACAACTTTTCAAACTTATTACAAAAGACACTTTGGACGATACCTTTTATCTATCAATTATGTATTGAAAAAAGTGCACCCTTTTTTCCCCAGTACTCTTCTACCGGGATTCCCTCATTTTGGCCGGAGTATCTCTCCTTTTAACGGTTATTCTGCGCCAACTGCAAGAGATGAAAACGACTCCGCCCATGTGGTTGTCTTCTCTAATGTCCGTCATACTTGATACAAGAGGAGGTCAGATATTCATCTTAACAAGTTTAAACCCTAAAGTCTCAGCAGTAGTTGAAACAAAATCTGATGAGAATGCCGAGTTTGTTAATCCACATTCAGCATCAACAAAGGAAGAGTCTGCCTGGGGGTACCTTGCTATCTGTATTAGTCGTCTATCATTCTTAAGTATTTTGGTGACGTATATTGTACTACTGGCAACTCTCACTCCCATTGACACTTCCTTGCCATCGAAACCTCCGAAATCATAACATATTCACCATTACCATTAGTCCAAACACTTCCTATTCATAAACGGTATTCTCATATTAACTTGTGTTCCTTTCAGAATTCAGTTTCGTTCATTGCATGACAGAGCCAAACAATTTGTTCCCTTTGAAAAAATGTGTGATCTAACGGTGCAATATTATCTTTTGCTTCCAATAGTTTTGTCGAAAAATTGTGGGAATTACACATAAATTTATACCTTATCCTTTTCTTCATTTAATTAAGCATATCCTGCGGTGCACGCCCGGCTAAAAAATGTACATTTCTGTAGTTCCATTTTATGTAAATGTTTGAAACAATAATTTACGTTATGGGATAGATAAATCATAGTAGATGATTTGGTTAAAAAAAACAAAAGGAAATACTGGGAAGGCCTTTTCCTTATAAATACATTTATTTCATAAAATGCATAAACTGGCTAGTTGTTTCTCCACTTTCATGTATGCGATTCATTCATTTCCATATTGCATTCTAGAAAACGCATTGATATATAATAATTAAAAGAATATTCCATGAGGTAATGACGCATTCTTTTGATAATGTAATATGAAGTGGTTATCGTTACAAATGCTTGTAGCAATACTGAAAAAATCATGAACCCATCAATGCTTACAGAACAAGTCAGATAATTGATTTATGTTGAACGCTTCAACCCGAACGTTTTAATAATTTCTTACACTATGTACATTCTTGAACTATGCCACTTTTGAGATGTTCATGTTAGTGCAAATGACGGATAAGCAGAAAATATGGTAGGGTTTATGTAACAATTGGACAGAAATGTTTTGGAGTTATAGTACTATGTACAATATTAAAAGAAAAGTAGCTAAATGGTTAAGCTCTTATGAACAATTGGTTTTGTGATGTTGTCGAGAGTTTAGAAAAAGAAATATAATGTCGATGATTAAATATATAGAAGAAAAGAAATGAAAAAGCAGTTGATCACCCGTACAGTAGTTCACTGCGATTTATACAAGAGGTAGTCCTTCAGGATTCGAGGTAATGGAAGGGAATCCACATCGGTCCTTTTTGTATATTCTAATATAGCATCACGGCATGCACTCTGAAGAGTTGATACTGTAGAAGCATGAAACAATAAATAGTTAATTTTACAAATAAAATATATAAGCGAATTGATATAGGACCTGTTTGTATGTACCTCCATACAGTTGTATTATCCTGACTTGTTTTGTGATTCCATAGACATCAACAAGAACATGTAAAGGACCAGCCTTATATGGAATGTCCTTCCCGCAAACTCCTTGATCCTCTCCATTGATAATAAAATGCAACTCGGCTTTATCAGAACCAGCCTGTGGGACATACATTAGTCCAATCCTACTTCCTATGTCAGTCGGTAAAATATTTTGAGTGGACCCCATGGTATTAGACCTGAGAGTACTGTAAGGAATGATACCACGTGAAGTATGAACATTGACTCCATCGGAGACCAGTTTTTCTCCATTGGATATTCCACCTAGAAAGAAGAGAATTCAGCGGATTTGTGATAAAAATGTCGATAACTTCATGCCAAATGCAGTTATTACCGGTAACGTTTCCAAAGTTATCCCGAACTTTGAGATCCTTTGTGATGGCGAAGATCCAATTGGTACCCACCCTCATCAAATTAGGGAGAGCATATAGTGGCATGCCAGCATTGAACAGAGTGGCCGGGTCGTTTTGCGTGAGTCCTAACCTAAGGTGACCAGACCATCCTATTTGAATCTTCTCGATTTCTAAGAGGAATATTTCACCGGGTTGTAGTGGTTTTTCACTGAACGTCAAAGCATTTGCAAAACTGCTGATGCGTAAGGCCACTGTATTGTCATCGAGGAGTCGAATATTTGACCCATGGTTTGGATGAAACCTCGTCATAATTTTTCGCGATTTTTGCTCCATTATACTACAGTCTTATTTATACAAACACTACAAGAATACTACAATTGGTTCTTACGGACTCCCGTTTGAAAAGCAAATGGTCAGTAAATAAATAGGTTCTTGACCCTTTTGACGAGGTCAATGGTACTCAAACCAAGGGATGCACCATACATTCATTTATCTTCATCGCACGAGTGCGCTCTTTCGTCTTTCGCATTGTGAATACCGGCTTTGTGTGAATTAAAATAAGCACCTTAGTCAGTGGACTAAATGTCAGTATTAAATCATTTCAGGAAGCGGAATATCACGGCATACTCCGGTCGGATAAACCTCCTAGTATATTTCAACGGATTCAGAAGTTAAACCAGGTAACGTATAAAATGACAGTAGACAGTCTACGATCGAATGCTCCCAGATCGAACTCGGACGCTTTGAGAATACTATTTCTAGGTTATGGTGAAGCCAGTGAAGAGATCGACGCGCCTCTGTCGCGAATTGCAGAAATCATTTGACGGCTCGATCTTCTCTTGGAACTGCTTGGAATAAATAAGTAAAAATGGAAGGAAGTAAAAGGAGGGATAAGAATGAGCAATACATAAAAGTTAAGAAAAGCAAAATAAGATGAATGATTATTGCGTCCCACGTATTGTACGCCGCTACAATAAATATTAGCGGCAGCACTTTTGGAAAGCCCCAAGGTACGGTGCGTGGCTACTCTAATCTTTTATTTGTTTAGTGGTGTTAGGGTGCAGACGACAAGTGAAAGTTGGAAAATTGGCCGGATGACAGCGGCAAAGACGCGGTCAAACGTGGCCTCAACGATCGGCGTAAATATACGATTTTCTCGGACGTTAATAGACATAGGTTTGACAGTTTCATCGATAACCGAGGCCGATTATCCCGAAGATGCTGTCAGTCATGCAGCCCAGGAGAGAAAGGCAGATGGAAGATGCTGGGACAGAACTTGCAACGATGGTTTGCCCTACGGCAGAGGAGTTAAGCGTTATTGTAAATAACGTTCAGTGCGTTCACTGCGGTCTGAATTTTCGAAATGAGCCGCAGCTTCGCCTTCACGACTTGAAGGTTCACCAAAGGAGAGGTCTCGACAAGACCGTGAAGGAGAATGTACGGTACCATTGCCCCGCAGCATCCTGCATCTATGCCCCAGAATCTCAGAGATACTTCACTACGATGAAGTACCTCAAGCAGGTTAGTACATACGCATAAGGAAGTTTTTACAATCGTTCTTAAGGGTGGTATCGTTACAGCACTATTTAAAGGTGCACGCGGCGAAAACTTTTGCATGTACCAGTTGCGTCAAGTGCTTCCCTACAGAAGCTGCGAAAGATGCACATGTTAGAGTGTGTGGTATAGAGTTTACTTGCAGTTGCCAGAAAACCTTTAGTACGTACGAGGCGCTTCTCACTCATGCCAGACGCTACTTTCATACCGTTGACGAAAAGTATAAACCCACAGTTAGGTGACTATTTAATTATTTCTAGATATATAAGGGAATGTACCGCTTGTAAGTGAAATCATGACTTTACGACTTGTGTTTATTTTTCAGGCGAACCAATGCCAAGTCGTTGCAGGGAACGGTTCCACTGTACATTTCGTTTCCCAGGGGGGTGAAGCCAATTTCTATACTCCCCAATCATGGAGAATTAGGAATCTCAAATTCTACCGTACAGAGCACTCCAAAATTCTCAGACATTGCTGTTCAAACGGATGAGATTAAAAAGAGCAAACGGACTCCGAGTCCTTCCAAGGGCAATACTGGCAAGCGTCAAGTGTCACGGCAAACGCAAACCAGTATTCTACCAAGAGACAAACGCTATAGACGTTCTGCGGAAACACAAACTGGAGACGATTTTGTATCGAAAAAACTTACAGACGTATCTAAAGTCCGAAGACGCAGGAAGAACAATGTGAAGAAAGTGGAGAACTCAGTTCTGCAAGAAGACTTCACGTTTGCAGAGTCTTTTGTCTCTGAGAACTTATTTCCCAACAGTCCGTTGCCATTGAGACATGATATTGGTTTGCAAGATTTATGGGAAGACAAAAGCACTTTGGGAACCCAAACTAGTCCAGAAAAGAACCTCTTTGAAGCACTTAATGACAATGTCACGCAAACGGATTTGGTTTCATTTTACACTCGGGTGGAACCTACACTGATGCATTGTGCTTCGCAAACTACAAATTTAACAGCTCTACCATACAATGAGGATGCTGCAGTTATTGACACCTTTACCTTTGTTCCGACAAGTGACATATCTAGAGTGGATCCTTTGTTAATACAAGAATCATTTGATAGTAGATTCAGTAGTATAGAAACCCAAACAGAGCAGGGTCAATTTCGGTCATTATTTGACTCGGAAGCATTATCTGGATCTTTCATAATAAGCACCAATATCGAAACACAAACAACTGAGAATTTTGAAAATATCGAGCAGCTTTTATACAGTAATACTTGCACACAGACCTGTGACGAGATATTACCATCTGATTTAATTTTATCTAACAATCAAACTCAAACAGCATGGTCACAATTGCATGATACAACGGTGTCTACAGAAACTCAAACAAAAAGTTTGTCTTCTACGGACAACAGCATTTCCATGACACCCAGGTCCTGGTTAAGTACGCAAACCAGTCATACGGAGACGCAAACTGATTTACTTAGCATGTTGGAGGAATTTCAGTAACACGTTATGATAGCAGTGGATCGTGAGAAGATACAGGTATTGGAGCGAATGTCCGTTTTTGACATTTCAAGAATAGCACATTTTTTTATTTATCTATAGCTCATTAAAAAACTTCCGTTACGTTGTTGCTGGTGAATCTTAAGGTTTCAATGTTGTGTTGGTGAAATACATTTTATGCGTAAAGCTAGTAAGACATACGGAATTCGTTATTCTTTTATACCACTTATTACAACATTTCTCGTTTTATCTAACAATGGAATAAAGTGAAGTGTGACAATATATTTATTCGGAAATAGATCACTCTTTGGGTAGGAAATAACAGGCACACATTAATAGATACATGTTACGCGAGTGTAGTTATATAAAAAACAACTTTGAATAAGTATTCAGGTAATTAATTTATTTCTTCTCACTTTTCGCATTGTCGGCGCAGAATACTGTCTCTCATTACCCTGCGCTATTGGCATGACACTGGTTTCCCATTCGTGCAGGACCACCGTACCCTATTAATGTAGATTCAGAGATGATCGGCTAAGGAAATATATCTGAGGCTTCAAAAATATACAGCTGTAACAATTGGTGAAGTTGCGAATGACAAGCTGCGCTTTCACGAACTTTCGGGACATTTATCAGACCTATTGTCCGAACATTAACGTCGAGACACAATCTTTGCAAGTCGGAAGACTGGTCTTGACGATGATTGACATGTAAAAAACTAACATTCGTTAGTTGTTCGTTTGAGTGTCTCTTTTATGTGATCGAATACCCTCGTATTCTCAGTTACTTTGTATTACACGGACCTCGAGCACCCCGTATAATTAACGAATAGAAAAATATAACAAATAAGTTATAAATAACATGTCTCACAGTGTGAAAGAGTCAAAGCTGTTTTCCGGGAAAACGCGATATCCAACGACGTGCCGAGATTTTGAGGAACTTGCCGCGGCGGATCTAGCAGGGCGCATACATGACGCTAAAGGAAAAGCAGGACAAACGGAACATTTACAATGCTGGCCCGGCGGCATTATCCTCGTCGAAGTCCGATACAAAGTCTTTGGTGCGATCTTCTATCCTGTCGACGTTTTCTAAAGCTGAAGCGAGGACTCTTAAGTTATCCACACCAGACATTAATTGCCTGTAAAAGAAAATATATTACTTGTGAGTATTTATGATAAAACATGGATCAGGAAAGACATAACACTTTCCATCGTTCAACAACTGTCAATGTATACATACGTGCTTTTCAATCGTTTTTAAATCGCGAATTATATTAGGTATTGAAATCGGATATTAGTTACAGATTTATCTACATGTAATATGAGTATACCATACCTTAACGATACTTCTGCACTAGACGCAGCTGATCGCAAATCAGTTGCCAGTCTTCTTATCCTTCTGTCTAAATTAACAGAACCGCTGTAATTAGAACTGGCACCCATGTCCCCCCTGAGTTCTCTGTTCTCCGCACGTAGCATTGATATTTCTGTCTAAATACAACGTTAAATTATTCACTCCGAAAATCCACTGCTAAACAGTATAAACCAAATTAATTCACGACGAAATGAAGTAATGAATCTATTTATGTACAATTAGTATTTGAACATACCATTAATACTTTTAATTCTTGCTTCAGAGCCGTTACGGTGTTCTCTGCACTAACAGCTCTCTTCTGTAAAAGATCAAATCTTTAATACTTTATTGTAATGTGTATAAACTTAGCACATGATGTTTTTCTTTCATACCGTGCTACGTTTCAAATTGTCTTCTACTTGTTCCATAGCCTTTTCCAGATGTGCAGTTTCTTCGAAAACTACAGCTTTTCTAGATGCCAGTTCTACTTCTAACAACTGTATTCTGTAATACCCATTCACATTAAAATGCATGCATTACAGAAAATTACTTAATTATATCATATCAAGTACCTCCTTGATCTTTTTTCCAGTTGTCTATGAGCAGCCTCCAATTCCTGGCGTAGCCTTTCATTTTCCAAAACTAACTAAGAAAAGAATATTCATAATCATATAAAATTAGGACATAGAAAAAATGTTATTGCTGTGGATCTGCCTCTGAGAAAATATACACACCCGTCGGTCGATAGGCTCCGGTGCAGCAGGACCAGGTCCTGCATCAGATGGTGGAGGTACTCTGCTTCGAATAGGTCCATCACTTAAGAAGTCTGGTAACGACTTGGTGATATTAGTTGCATTATTTGGTGGACAACTCCAAGCTGCCGCCCCAGCATCGTTAGGATCGGATTCACTAGGTCCCAAGGGTAGGTTATACATAAGCCCTGTAAGTTAATTTCAATCTCTTACTAACAGTCCTAATATAGGAGCAATCACGAGGGATCTTATTACATAACGTATTCAATATAGTTTAAATATCAAGTGATCACCAAATGATTTCAGGCGTTCGGCTGGTTCATCATTGGGCCTATCAAATGTAGGAAGGTCCAAGGGACCTGGATGATTTGTATTTGGCATAGAACGTTCTCTCTCCCTTCTAACCAAACTTCCGGTAAGATCAAACGGAAGGTCATCAAGAACACTCGATTGTCCCTTCTCTGGCTCGCTACGATGCCGAGGTTTTCGTGTCTCCATGCTATTAAGGGCAAAATCTGGGAGATTTTCAATGTCGACGATAGGTTGAGCAACGGCATCGTGATTCAAGTAACACTGTTCAATAACCAAATGGTCTTGTACAAAGTCTGGCAGTTCTGTGGGATTTCTAGCGTAAACTCCACTCTCGCTGTCAAGACTGCTAGGCTCGGGACTCGTGTTAGCAAGCGGAGAGTACACCTTTGGTCTGGCTCCAGTTAGCTGATAATTCGTCGACGGATCATTTTTTAAAAAGTGTTTAAAGCTGAACGGATTCTCGTCTCGACGGGGCAATTTGGTACCTGTGACATAATTATTATTGTATAGAGACCTTTAACGGGTACCATTGTCAAGGGGCAGGGTCGTACTGAACCTGTCGATTGGTCGGTTCTAACACGGTTTGTGTTGGCTCCCTTCGACGATCTTCCTGCAGGTTCAAGGCCACGTGCTTTTTCCGCATCGTCAGAGACTGAGAACGAAGACGGCGAGGGCGTCCTGGCGGCTTCTTCGGAGCTGTCTGTCATATGGTTTGCCAAAGGTCGAGACGGCTCGTCCCTTTCACCGTTGTCTGCCATCGTTGACGACGCCGCCGTTTCCGGAGAACCGTTCTATCACGGCCTCTCGCTTCTTTGCTCTGACTAGCGTTTTGACGTCTGTCAGAAAAGACTCATGAGCGCTGCCTCCTCTCCCGTCCTTTAATTAAAAAGAATCGGAGAGGAGAGCGAGCATGGTCGGAGAGACGCAAGGGTATCGCTAGCAGAAACTGTACCCTATAGAAGGGCTCAGAATTTTTTCCCCGATTTACTCTCGGTTACGGCACTTGAGAATATGTCCAATGTCTTTCTCCTATCGTTTTTTAATTCGGTTGAGAGACATAGTATCGTCACTAGTTGAACGAGCTGTTTTGTTGATAAAAACACAGTAAAAGTAGCGTGAAACTGGGTACCAGTTAGTACCACTTCTATATACGTCGCTGGCTGTTGCTGACCTTAGACGATAAATATCTAGACCTCGCATAGCAGTGGAAGGGGTAACTTGAATATCACATGAACCACGTGTGCCGACGGCACTCGGCTCAATCAGATTTTAGACCATATATTTATCTAGACGTCTTGCAATGGAAGGGGTTAACGAAAGTACCACGTGTCCCGACAACTCATCATACAGTTAAAACCATTCTGGTTACCGAAAATCTTGGAGTGGGAGGTCATTGCGAGGTCTAGATATACGTGGTCTAAGGTTGCTACAGTTTTGAATAGGCTTCGAATGGAGAAAACACGAGATGGAATGCAGCTACATTTTCCTCCATCGATATACAGGTCGCTTAACGAACAATTGGAATTTCTTTCTGTAAAAAATATGCTTATCTTGCTGCAATTGTCGATTAATCCCATCTGCTATCTACAAAATCATAAGAAACATATTAAGGAATGGTTGGGGGCACCTACACGTAACTCGCGCCGATGGTGCCGCCATCATCCGACCGGGGAGCGAAGTCTATCCATATTTCCCAATTATCAGGTCCCTCCAACTCAGCAAAAATTTAAATTTCCTCAATTCTTCGCCATAGATTCACTGCTTATGCGTGATGTGCACCACTTGACATCCCACACGCATTCCTACACGCATTTACCACATTGGGTAACAGTGTGTGCACGCGTATGCAGTTGGCCAATTCCCCTACTCCGTTTGCCGCGTTTTTGTTCCTATTTTACGTTACTGTTTCGTTACAGATCGGCGTGGCTCTGTCAGGGCGGCCAGGGACACGGGAGATTGCTTCGGGCGCAAGGAAAAGAGCTGCTCCGCAAGTCGGATATTCTTGTATAATCTCGCGAAAGGCATTCGGAGTAGAAGCGAAATTGTGAGTCATCGTTAAAAATCGGTCGCGCGTGCGTGTGTATTAAGTGACTGCATTCGGTGGTAAGACGCGTCGATGTTGACATATTACAGACTGAGATGCGACGCATTCCTACGCCTTGCTATAACGCGAATCGTATTTTCTTGATTGCACCTCGATCTGTGTGAGTGCTCTCAACTTATTACGATATATAAGCGACGATCTTACACCTACGCAAACGCGACTACGGTAAGCTCCTTATTTATAGAAGACGTCACGTTACAGAGGCGGGTATTGCGCTTTTGTAGCATGTGTTTTTAGCTCCACAGTAGTACTATAACGATCAGATAGTACTCCTTTGACATGCCGATTAATGTTTATTTAAGTGTCAATGGAAATATTATTTCACTCGTATGAACCCTAAATCTTTTCTTATTTTACTTGAGGAATTTAGAGTAAATGGATGCAGTCATAAAAAGCAACATCACTGGATTTAGAAAGCATCCATTATTGCGTAAAATACTGGACGAAGGTTTTTGGTTTCGGAATGCCGAGGGAGGTTTCTTTTGAGATTTAGGAATTTAGGGATCCACAGGGTCGAGGGAGAGGTAAAACTGGAAAGGGGAGAGAATAAGCAATGGGAGCTGTTTTTATACTTCGAGGTGGCTGCTATTTTTAGATCTTCCCAAATGTATGACCCCGGTAATGGGTAGGGTCTAATACGGCATCCTATATAGCTTCAATGTAAAATTACTTTGTTAGAAATCAAATCGTGGAAATAGGGGTAACTCAACTGTCTTATTAGTAGTTCGATTTAGGATATAATATTTGCAGTTAACATGGAGGCGGAGCAGCATCATTATGAGTTACGCAGCAGGAGTAGGTCACGTTCGGAAACGCCTCAGGTATTGAGTCGTGAAATTCAGGAATCGGAGTCCATGGAGCATCATTACTCTTTAAGAAGTAAAAGCCGAGAGCGATCTCTTACACCTGGACATATCAATTCTCGAAGATCCAGTTCAAAATCTTTGTATGCATTCGTTTAAAATGGAGAATATAACTTACTTGACACTAGTTCATAAACTTCTTTTAATCATTTGGTATTATAGGCCCGTAAGTACCACCAAGGTTTCCGATAAGAATATGGAACCTATCGTAGAGCAGAAAGAAGAAGTTGTTCCATTGGAGGCTTCTTCTGAAAATAAAAGTCATTTGCAAGATTCTTCTTCAGCTTCTGCTAAGAAAATTGAACGTCGCTCCGAGCGTCAACGAGTTAGAAGGCAGATATTTGCTAATGGACAAAGTGAAGTTAAAGAAAACATTGTTAATAGCAAATTGGAGCGCAAGAGGAAAAGCGTTACTCCAAAACGAACTCTCACAAGTGATTACTCTTCAGAAGAAGGTGAACGCGATGATCCTCCGAAAAGACCAGGCTCTGCTTATGAAATCTATAAGAAAGCTGGAGAATGGTGGAAGTAAGTTCAATTTAATCTTGATTATATTGTTTAATATTAGGTGTTTGATGTAGCACACTTGTATAAATCAGTAATAGGCACGGTTACCGAACATGATATACTTCGACTGAGAATGTATTCAAACTAAGCTGACCTTAAGTTGATCTTCATTGTGTGATTATTATGAAAACTGTAACTGAATTTAGTCATACTTGGCATTATATATTTAGAAGGTCACTGGTCTTATCAAGGAGTTGGTTATATCACAGAGTAATTCTTGCACAAAGAGCAATAAGTTTCTTTAAATTATAATTGATTTGTTGTAGCGTTTTTCCCAAGACAGATTATACATATTCACGGCATTCTCAATGTCGCTATGAAATTGCACCAGGCATTTTGGCAATGCCAAATATGTCTCGATGCTCAATCCATTCGGACAGTAGTAGTACTCTTGGTAGTGGTGGATCATTTAGTCAACAAAGTTTGAATCCATCACAAACAGTGGACAGTTTGACAGGAAGTTTTGTGGATACGACAGATACTGGTGACATTAATCAACAAGATCTTATGGTTAGTATTTCCACTTTTATTATCTGTTTGTTTCTCGACATATACTAAAATCCCTCAATTTCTTAATTTTATTTCACTGTATAGTTTCTCGATCGAGATTCCCGTCTTTCTTCAAGTTCTCATAAAACGGAAAGTGGTGCACATACCACGATGTACAAGACAACGCACGTTGAACATTACAAAACCCGTCGGGAGGTAATTTATGCAGATTCAGGAAACCCCTATCCTGAAATAAAAGGAGGAAGGTTAGTATACATAAGAGAAAAAAGAAAATGAAATTTGTGGATTGAGACTTATCCTTATATTGAAACTGTACAGTTATACATGGCGGAACAATTCTTTGGTGGAATCTCTCAATCGTAAACTTGGACGTGTAACCCAACTTGATTCCGATGCAGAACTGGATGAAGCTGTCACAGTAAGGACACGTATCGATAAAAAATGGAAGATCACTGAATGGATTCAAGAAACGACGAGGACATGGTTCTTTAAAGTACTTGAAGTAGTTGGTTTAAGAGAAGGGAGAAGTAAGCGGTATGACATCAATCACGATTATCGAACTTATCAAGGTAGGCTCTCATCAATTGTATAAATTTTGTTAAATGAACAGATAGAACAACATATCTAATTTATATTTTGTTCCCCAGAGTCTAGATGGACAAAGGTGCGAAAGCCAGTGGATCGTATGTTACAGTATGTCTATCTATTACTGATGAAAATAATTCTCTGGGATTCCTGGTTATTAAATCGAGCATCCAGTGTCAGAGAACGAATACATAATCAGCATCCTAAAATCCTTTGGCTCCTTATGCTGCCACCTATTCTCTTAGCCGGTGAGTCACTCTTTAAATAAATATTACGATGACTTGATATCATTCATGAACCTTTCTTGAAACCTCGGGTTTCATATTTCTGAACAGGGTGTTACGAGGTCTCAACCTGAAAACTTCAAAAGATAACTAAGCCTAGTGTGGCCTTTATCTTTTATCTGTTTCAGGCACTTACGTCTTACAAAAGTATAACCATACTAATTTGAACTCTCTGCAGAATGTTTATAAAGACTTGCCAGATATAACTTACAACGCCATTAACGATATTAGTAATTTAACGTTAATTGAGTACCATCATTTGATAAAATACATTTCAAGTATTCAAAACTTTACCCTGCCCCAATTTGGCAGTATGAACGTGTCTTGGCCTGTGCTACCTAACATTGGCTGGAATGTTACTTGGCGATAATTCTACAAATGTTAAATTAGGCTAGGGAGTAATTTTAAGAGTATCGTAATATTATTTTCCATCTACTTCTGCGCAACTAATACGAATGTTTTTTTCGTTTATATCCGGATACATCAGAAACGTAGTGCGTTTTGGTTCGTGGTCCATATACCAGATATCGACAATGGTGAATTCTGCTAAATGAATAAATAGTATGATTTTAGAATGCTTATAGGATAATTATAAGCACAATCTGAATTCTGCCGATTTTTTATGGTTCTACTTTTAGATTTCAGTATAATAATCACCATTCCTTATTTTTGATAGAATTATAACATCTGAGAGAAAAACTTTTAAAGATTAATCCAAAAAGGAATTGGATTGTTATTTTTATTAATACATTCATGATTACTGTATGTATTTTTGCGTGTCAAATGTAGTAGAATAATTTGGATTAACTTTTATTTATCAATATATCAGTTGCAGTTACTAATAATTTAATTTTATATTTCGGATTAATGTAGTCTTATATTTTGCCAGGGATTTAGGATAATATGTGTTTCATTATAAACGCAATATGGAAATATGTTAATTTACTCGTATGTATCATACGTATAGGTATTTTTGTTTTAATTAGAATTTATTTTGTGGTAATTAAAATTTCTAACAGTGGGGTACAATCATTTAAAAGTCGACAATGCTGCTTTTCTCCGTGATTAATATATATGTTATACGTTTATTTAGTACGTCAATTTTATTTACATTATAATGCCCGTGAAATATCTAATGTATTAATTGTGTAATGCATTGTGTTGACTTTATAACAATATTTTACGTTGGGAATTAACCATGAAACATGTATACAAACGGTGTGACTAATATAATTGAAATTACCATTGTTCGTATACTCAGAATGGTAGGAATTACCTTTAAAGGTAGCACTATTATTTTTTTCTTGAGTACATTTTACTTTATTCTTTCCTCATACATGGACTCAAGCACGTTCATACTACATTTAATTGTTCCTGTACACTCGTACGAAACAACTAGCAATAAACATTGGTACAATAAGAGACAATATGAAACGTATGGTGACAGCCCCAGTAACATGTGAAGAGTTTTCAAGTTTTTTGATAACAAAGGGTGCAAAAGGGTTAAAATGGGAGAAGGATAGAGGGAGGTTAACTTTACTGGAGGCAAGTCCGGAGGGTTTCACTTTTGGGGAGTCAGGGACGATTCCAAGGAAAGCCATTTCTGCGGTGAGTTCCTTCGTCTATCCTTCTCTCAGTTACCGTATCGTATCGCAAAGAACTCCACTGGCTACGTCAGTAAATTCATTCCATGCAAACATTTGATCCGAATTGAAAGACAGAGAGAGAGGGGGGAAAAAAAAGTAAAACTCACTGCACGGACCAGTATGGAGTCGATACGGTAACCAGAGAAGGATCATGTACGAACACACTTTTTCTCTTTTTCTGTTATTAATCGGAGCGGAACCATTTCAGGGTGGTGGTTTCTACCGTCTGTATTATCCGCCTTGCCATTTCCCTCCATTGGCAAGGTTCTGGAACCTGTAATAAAGGATGTCGGGATAAACACTGTCAGGAGTGTAAGAAATGATTCCACCGAAAGGTCATCGTTCAGGGACGATGATTTAAACGTGCTCGTCCAACTGTTGGCAGACAGGATTCAGAAACTAGAAGCTGGTAGCCAAAGGCAAGCGGTAAGAAAGTGTTCAAATTAACCGTCACGTTTAAATGACTCATTTAAATCTTTCACAGGAAATCCTTACTAACGTTAGTCGCATAGCAGATGTGCTGGAGGAAAATAGTAAGAACGTTTGGACGCTTTACAATGTGAGTATATAATTTGTACAGCATTGCGGTACTGGAGGGTAACGTTAATAATTTACTGCTCAGAACAAACTGACCGATCTCGGAGAGAAACTAGAGGAGAAGATTACGAGCCAGGACAAGGCGGATGAAATCAGGGCGATCAAATTCGAGTTGGAATCACTGCGAGAGGACTATTCCCAGCTTAAGTCTTGTTGTAAGGATTCTGCATTAACTCTTGCCGAAAAGGATGTTGAGAAATACCTGGAGCAGTCGGTATCCGGATATTTTGCTAGTGCTAGTGCTAAGGACGAGATAACTAATCTCGTGAAAAATATTCTCAGCGAACAGAGAGATGCCCAGGCGCTGAAGGATAAAGGTTTGTAGAGTCAGTAATGATGTTCAATAGCTAACGAGTGATATTGATATTTATGCAATTGGTGTGATGGCTGTAGAAGTGCAAGAGAAATATGGAAGTCAGAGTGTTGCCAATCTAGGTACGGGATTTGCGGAGGCGGAGATGCGCAGGATAGTCAAGGAAACATTGAAGATATACGACGCTGATAAGACCGGAAAAGCAGATTACGCTCTCGAGTCTGCTGGTGAGATGCCGAGATAGTTAGTGATTACTCAAAATATGAATTTAAGGACCAGTTTAAGACCGTTCATTCTTCTAGGTGGTCAGATCATCAGCACACGTTGCACCCAGCCATATGATATCGGTACACGAGTCTACAAGTTTTTGGGCTATACAATATATTATGGCAGCAATGACCCAAGGACCGTAATACAAGGAAACCCCTTGCAGCCTGGTGTATGTTGGGCGTTTCAAGATTTTCCCGGACATTTGTTAATTAAATTACGGAGCTTCATATATGTAACGGGTTTCACATTGGAGCATGTTCCTAAATCCCTTTTACCGAGCGGGGAAATGAAGAGTGCACCGCGGAAGTTTAATGTCTGGGTAAGTGCACCTCTTGTTATGCAGTTTCTTTAAAATCTCGGTGCTAAAAGAACTCGACGGAAATCGTTTACAGGGCTTTAGGTACGAAACCGATCCGGATCCTGTAATGCTTGGGGACTATGAGTTTGTGGACTCGGACGAGAGCTTACAATATTTCCCTGCCAAGGTAATGTCAATTATTAAACGTTTATAAGTTATTTTTCCTTTAACGAGGGTTTATATTCGTCAGCAGGAAATGGAGTTCTCGGTACCCTATGAATATGTTGAATTGAAGATACACAGTAATCATGGCCAGCTCGAGTACACTTGCCTCTACAGGTTTCGGGTGCATGGTATACCAGTTTCAAAGCCGTGATTGAACCTTTTTGTGGAGGATGCTAGAATTGCCATTTTTCACGATTTATATTTTACGGCTATGAAGTTTCAACCGAAGAGCGTTCTTTGAAATTCGCATGGACGAGAAGAAACGCGCGTTACGTCTTAATATCTCTGTCGTACCTTGTGCCTTTGACTGTGTCGGCCTATATGAGACTCGGTACTAGACGAGGTACCTGTGTATCTGGTCAGGGCAGTGGAATTAAGTGTTCAAGGTGGCCCTAAAATCGAGGGTAATGAATTTTTTGGTAACCGTAATCTCAAGTTCCATCAATGGTCCCTTGATCTATGGACTTTTCTTTTAGAACAATCGGTGGGCTACAGTAGGCATGTGACATAATAGTTTGTAAATGAGAAGCAATGATCTTAAAAATTATGGTTAATGTGCGTTTGTAAAATTAATTCACGGATATTTGCTCTGCTAAGGCGCGACGCGGAGGGTTAACACGTGTACAGCTATTTTTAATTCTAATCAAAAAATTGCATGTAGATAATAAGGTAATAGAAGTATTTTTATACAACAAGATTAAGGGGCCAGACCCTGTTAAGACAGCTCTCATGATTACTGAAATATCACCGGTCCTTATTGTCCAAAAGTTACCCGCTTGTGAATGAAGCATAATACCGTACTAATTAATTAACGATATACCGAGAACAGAGTACAAATTGTGAACAAGTAACGTTCAGTAGACCTAGTGTAAGTATTCTCTTTGAGGTTTCGCCATAGAACAATAGCTTCAAAATGGATGTTTTTGTATAAGACTTGATGTATTCTGTACCTGTAATATGTTCGGGAATGATTTATTCCGGCTTGGCTGAGTGCATTGATTTTATGTATCTGTCGAATTAGGATCAACTCCTTCAAATGTCTTTAAAATCAAATTTTATATAACTTCTACGAGCGGTTAATTAACTGTTCTTGATTGTCTTTTGAATTAAATTGAAGGAATCGGTCTTTAATCGATCGGATACTCGGATGCTTAACCGTGCTTGTTTCAAATGGTGTTCAGCTCGTAAAATGAAATGGAAAAATCAATCTTTTTCAAGCATATATACAGATTTTTTCTAATGTTACCACATCGATCTAAGGAATTATTGTATCTATTTATATAAATTTTTTTAAAGTCTTGTCAGCGCCAATATACATACCGTTACATTTCGTTTTAGCAATGCAGCTTTAAAGAATGCATATTGAAGGTTCAAGATCAAATGACTTTGCCATATTCAAATAGTAATAACTCGTACCAATCACGAACAGCTTCATATTTGCATATCTCTGACATAATTCTATCATTTAAACTCTATTTCTGCCAGAAGATTCTATTGCAGTAATAATCGATATTATTGGTGACAGTTGATTTTATTTTGGTAATGTGCCTTTCACCTTATTTGAGAGAATCTTCTCGTGGAAGTAAATTTAGCAGATGCCAAAGAATAAAGTTGTACGTTTTATTCTGGCAGCCGGTACTTAATTGCTGGACGTATTCTCTCGAAGCACAACATCGTCAGGGAACCATCATATCAAAGTACAACTTGAAAGCCTTTTCTCCTCTTTTAGTGTTGTATCATGACATAATACATAACTATAAACAACGCGCACGCATATAACATGTAGAACTTTAGAGTATGTGAATAAAAGTCCTAAGAATTTGTATTATTTATATACGTTGAACCATTTCATTGTATTGTACACATTATAATATTAATTTACTGGGATAGCATTGTTCTATGTCACTCAGATTTTATTAATAAGAGATATAAATTCATCGTACTCACCATTTGTCTGATTAAATATTTTTAATTAGCTAATTCCATTAGTTCTGTGCAACAAAATACCAGCTTGCAATTAGTAAAAAAGTTAGCGGCGCAGTAAAACGAATTTTTGACCTAACTTTGGAATTCACCTACAGAGCAAGTTATAATTCCTTGTGATCCTAACAGATGGCGCTACCACGTCGTTCCTGGCGGTTCATAGTCCAGTTAATTCGTCGTCCCGCACGTTACATGAAAATAGAGGGAAAAGTGTTTTTGTTTTTCTCACGTGTTTTCACTGCAATTCAAGAAGGATTCTTTTGGCCGGCCAGTTCGCATCGCGGAGTCCATCCACCAGAAATAAGTGAGTTATAAATATAAGCTTAACTATAAAAGATCGCAACTTCTAATTGCCGATTATAACACGGCTGACGCGATTAGGAGCATCGGCGCAGCGTACTGCGCAGGTCAAGTAATGGCCTCCGATCGCGCGATTCTATCTCCTCCATTTGAATTTACCGAACTCGAACGTATTACGTCAAATTCTATTTTATTCTCCTATGTATACTCCCATGTTAGTGAAGCGGGAAGTTTAAAATCCTTGAACGTCGAAATACTTTTTATAAGACTACATTGAAGCATGAAATATAAAGTCGATCGACTCGAGTGCGTTAGACCTAACTCCGGCCTAAAATCAGATCGTATAATATTTCGCGCCTCGGCCAGAGATGAGTTGGGAGATTGCTCATGGGCAGGGTCGTGCGATCGCGTCCTGTGCTGCCCCCCGGTGGAGGATGCGGACGACTACAGCACTTGCCTCCTGTTACCCCTCAGTGGCGGCGCAACACATTGTTCGAGAAAGGTTTACGAAAGATTGACCCCCTCAGGTGCCCCATTCTCGTCATTTTAAACGGCCCGCTTAAGCCGAGAGTCGGTCGGCCTTATTTTCCAGTATTTATGCAGTGTTATGCACCGTGCTCGACACGCCAGGCTGGCTGCAATGTCAATAGGAAAGTGCACTCCACAGCTGCGCGCTCGCGTGCGCGTGGGACGCGGTGTCGCGTTCGCGCGTTATCGCTCACGAGTTCGATTCTTCTTTTAGGGCAACAAGTGTCCAACCGTCGACACATAGTCACGATCCTTCGATTATTAGCGCCGGATGTGAACTTTTTAATCGATCGCCAGACAGATCAAGGTTTATCGCCAGAGGAACGCGCCCATAAATAGGAATCAGATAACGCCGATCGGTGGGAATGAATTAAACCGCTCGTAAGTGATCCCTCCCTTTACGGTACGAATCCCCGACTCTTTTTAATTTCCACGTACGTTTGATTCATGCACATCTGGGCGAGAGGGTAGAGGAAACTTCTGGGAGGAAAGATCCCTAAATACCCGGGGAATTCTACGCGCTAGCGCAGGTCGATAACATCCACGAGGAGCAATAATTCAAGGGAGCTTACTTGATTAACCCGTGTATTCATAAACAAGAATAGATTCAGACATCTGCGTGGACGCATACGCACATACATACATGTACATATACGTGTGCGTATACATCGGCTAGGATAGATATATGTATGATGTATCTCTCGAGGCATAGGCACGCGTGCATACAGCAGTGGGCGCACGCACGGGCGGGTATGCGCGGCAATACATGCATAGATATATTATACATACTGATACACAATTACATATATACGTGCATATACATATGTATACGTATACACCGGTAGAGGTTTGTATTTCACATAGAGACGCACCTGCTCCGCTCAGGTCCTTAGGCTGCGATCGCAACGTCGCCGGGCACGCGACGAGCTCCTCAATGCGGTTACATGTATTTATATGGATTTATATATATGTACTTTATATATATATATATATAAATAAGACGCAGTCGAAACGGCTCGAATAGAAATAAATAAAAGCCACCTGCGGGGGGAGGGGGCCGCGCGTCGCGTGACTGTAAAAGTAAGTAAAATCGTCGTCGTTGCCTGCACGGGTCGGCGTAATTCCACGGGGCGTGCGCGGCCGCGATCGACACCCGCGATTCTACAATAAATCCGCGACTCGCATAAATACCGATCTCGATGAGCTTCCTCGCGTAAGCTCGTGTACTTCCTGTCCACGAAGCGAGCGGCTCCGGTGCACGCAAAACTCGCCCTCGCTCGGGAAGCCTCGACTCGTCGCGCCGCTGCATGTCGCATGTCGCAAGGATACGTTAGGTCGTTGATCGACTTTCTTGAATTTCTTATTACGGATTTTCGTTAGCTTTACCGGTCCAATTGTAATCTACCGACGCCGCGATATGACTTTGGATGCAACAAATGCGCGAGTATCGATTCACACAAAAGCACTTTATTTCGAGCCATTGAACGCCATCGATCACGTGACGTGTCTTTTTGAGAGGACTTAAAAAAAGAAAGATATACACAAAGGTACGGAACAGGTAATCGGTGTCGAGATCTTCGGGTGGATTAAATTCTAGCGAATGTAATCTCGGTGGACTTGATTAACCTGGTGATAAGGTACTGGTCAGTTTTACGGAAGGATCCTTATCTTTACGGCTGCGTACGCGCTGCTGCGGTAGTCGAGCGATGTCTCGGGATTTTTTTTTTCTTTTCTTTTTTTTCCCCTTTTCTTTTGTCGGCCGAAGAGATGCAGCGACGCGAGCGAGGGGGCATCTTTGGGCCGAGGGAAATATATCTCGCCAGGGTTAGGAGACTCGTGGGTATCGGACGAGAATTTTTTCGTGAGCGATCCCGGGAGCACGGCTCGATACAGAAGAGCCATGTCTGGCCCGAGGTTGGTCGAAAGTGCGAAAATGTGAAAATTCGAAGATTCAAAAATGCGAAAATTCGAAAAATGCGAAAATGCGAAAATTCGAAAATACGAAAATATGAAAATACGAAAATTCGAAAATGCGAAGATTCGAAAATGCGAAAATGCGAAAATTCGAAAATTCAAAAATGCGAAAATGCGAAAATCCGACAATAAAAACCGTGCTCCCGAGGTCCTCGCGCTTGCACGCAAAAGTCGAACTACGATCAGTCCGGCGAAGGGAAGAGAGACACAGGCCGGGGAGGGCGGGAGGGGGCAATAGACGGATATCTTCAATACTGACTTTGGAATGATTCGGCTCACTCTCAGCGAGGGATGGGTCCGAACCGATTTTGGGACCCACGGGGCGGCCTGCAATACTGATCGGCACTCCTCGACGAGTGAGGGCCCATCGTGACCCTAGGCAAAGCCTGGTCCACCCAAGCTGACGAGAACGACTCGAAATACGATTGTACGATTTCGAAAATGATCCAGATCCCTGGATCGTCCCAGTTCCGGTCCCATCCCTACTCTCAGCTGGGAATGTACATACGTGTAGCGATCCGCTTGGAGTCCGGCGACACCGTATTTACAGTAACTCTTAAATATACGGACACACGCGCAATCTCATTCTCTCTCTCTCTCTTTCTCTCTTTTTCTCTGCGAGCGAGGACCAGGAGGACGACCCGAGTCCACCGCGACGCGGGTCGGGCCCAATTTCTGGGGCCGCCGTTCTCTCATCGACGTACTGACATTATCCACGTACGTATGTTCGCGCGCTCCACCTATCCCGGAGACACTTCGGAAGGGCCGCAAAAAGAACGGTACGAACGCAACGAAGAAATAAATAAATAATACAGGTACGGGGGGACCTACGGGCCCAAACCTTCGGCCATCGCAGGCCCGACGTACCGCGCGACGTGGCGATTGGGTTAACGCCAATTATCGTAGACACTAGTACAGGATCGGTAGCGGAAGTAATAGTAGCAGTGATGATAATATCAATAATAATTAATAATTAATACTAATAATAAGGATGATAGCGATAATATTAATCATGATAAGAGTAGTTACGACGGGGCTAATGATAATACGCGCAACGGCGCGACGCCTCGTCGGAGATGCGGTACTCCGACCGGCGTCCTTGCCGCGTCGGGGCCCGTCGACGATTCCCGACGACCTCCTCGAGGGGCCCGACCGATCTCAGAGCTCGCCCGAACGAATTCACGGGCCCGATTTCGTGCCCGGTCCCGGCCAACGCGGGAATCTCTACCGTTGCTCTAGGAACTCTGTTTTTCATTATTTTCTTCCTCTCGTTTTCGTGCCATCCATTTTCATTTCCATATCTGGATTTAAGTCACGAATTTCCGTAATACTAGCTTTGTAATGTGTGTACCGTGGGTGGGCAGGCTTGTGGATTCGTCCGAGTAGCGACGGGCCCCGCGACTTTGGGGTCCGCGCGCGGAAAGAGACTCGGCAGAGTTCCGCGCCAAGTGCACTCTTCGGCGCGGACTCTGCCGGGGCCTCGCGTGCATACGCGCGTGCATCCAGCTACCGTTTCGAGTGCTTGCTTCGGTTTTCTCCTTCGGTTGGACGTTTCCCTCTTCGACTCGATCTCAATCTTTCTCTCTCTTTCTCCGCGCGTATGCATATATAAGTATCTATTATATCTCGATGCGCGGTGGAGCTATATGTATTTATATATTTATATTTATATTTATATATATTTATATTTTAACCGGAGTGCGCCGTACGAGCGCACGGGCCCTCTCTATACTCTCTGCGCGTGCGTACGCGCAATCGCGTGGCGCGTGTACGCAGCGCGGATATAATTGTCGACTAGAATCTGTGTGGGTCGTACGGCTCTCGTGCCGTTCCCGTGCCCGACGTGGGACCGTGGGACGTGGATGTGCTCGACGGAGGATGGGGTTCGAGCGAGGACCTCGGAGGATCGAAGAGTATTGCCTCGGTACTCGATGTTCCGCACCCGATGCTCGTTACCCTGTACTCGGTACCCAGGGTTTAGTCCTCGATGCCCGATACTCGGTTCCTGGTACTAGACTCGATACCCAGTACTTGATAATTGATTCTCGGTACCCAGTACTAAGTGCTCGGCACTTGGTGTTTGAAACGCGATGCTTGGTACAAGGTACCCAGTACTAGGTGCTTGGCACTTGATGTTAGAAACGCGATGCTTGGTACTCGGTACCCACTACTAAGTGCTCGGTACTTGATCTTAGAAACGCGATGCTCGGTCCTCGGTACCCAGTACTAAGTGCTTGGCACTTGATGTTAGAAACGCGATGCTCGATACTCGGTGCCCAGTACTAAGTGCTCGGCACTTTATGTTAGAAACTCGATACTCGGTACCCAGTACTAAGTGCTCGGCACTTGATGTTAGAAACGCGATGCTCGGTCCTCGGTACCCAGTACTAAGTGCTCGGCACTTGATATTAGAAACGCGATGCTTGGTCCTTACCCAGTACTAAGTGCTCGGCACTTTATGTTAGAAACTCGATACTCGGTACCCAGTACTAAGTGCTCGGCACTTGATGTTAGAAACGCGATGCTCGGTCCTCGGTACCCACTATTCGGTGCTCGACCTCGATATTAAATACGCGATGCTGGGTACCCAGTACTTGGTGTTCGAAGCTCGGCTCTCGATGTTCGGTACGCGATTTTCGGTACCCAGTACCCGATCCTCGGTGTACCGCGTACGCAACGATCAGGTGATCGCACACGTCCGACCGTGGGTGATCTCGATCTTTGGAGGATGCATCCCGAGATCGCGATGCATCGATCCAGGATCTCGCTCTCCTCCTCCACCTCGACGTCTCTCCGATCGTCTCCTCTTCTTCCCTCCCTCTCTCCATCTCGCCTCCTCGGCGTTCGGTCACTCTCTCGCTCCCTCGTCCTCTCGCATTCGAGCACCTCGTTCTCCCTCTCCTTCTCTCTCGCCCGGTCTCGTCCTGCCTCGTCCCGTCTCCCTCTCTCTCTCTCGGTACTTGCGCGGGAACATACATACGTACATACATAAATGGGTACTACACATGTACACTAACCACGGACACTCATTCATGTACAGTTTCTCCCTCTCTCTCGCTCTCTCTCCCTTTTCCTCCTCTCCTCTCTCAGCGGTGCTCCCTTCCTCGGCCTCCCAGCCTCTGTCTCCCTCCTCTCCTCAGCGTCGTCGTATCTTCGTAAGTATCTCCCCTTACTTCTTGCGGCCCAGGTACTCGACCATCTCCTGGAACTTTTCTTTCTCGTCCTCAAGCAGCAGCGCTTGGATGCAGCTCGTAAAGTATTGGGTGCTGAAGCATTCTTGCCTGCGGATCGGCACAAAGGAGCTCGAATTAGCGCCATCTTCCTGCTGGGAGTGGTCCAGGAGGTGGCTCGGAGTTTGGATGCTGGGAGGATGGGGTTCAAATAGGTTCCAAAGTACCTTTGGAGGAACTGGGGTTGGATGAGCGATTCGATGGTGGGTAGTGCCGTAACTGGGCGGATGCAACAGGTGCACTCTACAAGGATCTGGGAGGACCCCAAAATATAATTGGAAAAATTATATGGGGTCCGAAAAAGACACCGAAATATAATTGTAAAAATTATATGGGGTCCGAAAATGACACCGAAATATAATTGAACAAACTATATGGGGTCCGAAAATGACACCGAAATATAATTGTAAACATTATATGGGGTCCGAAAATGACACCAAAATATAATTGTAAACATCATATGGGGTCCGAAAATGCCACCAAAATATAATTTAAAAAAATTATATGGGGTCCGAAAATGACACCAAAATATAATTGAAAAAATTATATGTGGACTGAAAATGAGACCAAGGATATTTTTAAGGGTCCTTGGAAACCTAGTTACGGCACTGCCGACGGGACTCTCAGAGGAGATGAGACGAGATGAGACAAGATGGGATGCTGCAAGGATGAGGTCCAAAGAGCCTCGCGGCATCTCTGGGTACAGGTTACAAGACATTGTTAAAAGTCATGGTATCAAGATGATCGGTGTGTCGTGTGTCGGTATTCTCGCAATTTAAACAGAACGGGGGAAATTAACTCTCCGAAATCGGCCAGAGGTCCTGGACCAGAAGATCGTGCCGCCCTTTACGTCCCTCTCCGCTCTGAAAAAAGGACACCCAGAAACATCCACGAACCACATAGACTATTCAAATCTCTCCCCGCTTCTAAGAACAACTATACAGAGAGCGTGAAATGATAAGTAACGCGTACATTACTTTTAACCGGAAAAGACATCTCTAAATGGGTAACACCAAAGGGAGACACAACATCAAGATACGACAAATTCGAGTGGGCTAACGAGGAGCCGAGTTTAATTGAAAATAATTGCGAAGATCCTCTCGGTATGACGCGAGTTCTCTTTTTTACGAATCGTTCAGGGAAATGAGATAAATGTGTAAGGGAAATGTCGTGTACATAGGGTGCGTAACGCGGAATTACCTAATTTTCCTAGTAAGGGCTCCCACCTCGCCGAGTCGCACCCAAGGAACACGAGGACCACCGGGGGCAACGCGAGATCGTGCATACAGTAACTTGCACATATACTTTCGTGAATATACATATTTCTCGAAGCGTTGGATACATGGGGAAACGCAAAGAAAAAGAAGAAGAAGAAAGACGGAAGGAACGACCAAGCGGGACCGGCGAACCTCGGGGGAGAAACGAGGACGTCGTTCGGCGAAGCGAGAAATCAAGGAAAGGAAATAAATGAAATAAATGAAATAAATGAAATAAATGAAATAAATTAAATGAATGAAATAAATGGTGCGAATTAAGAAAACGGTTCCAGAGGTCGGGACGGAGGGGGTCGCGGGTCACAGTAATCGGCGTAACGAGCGAAATCAGGATAACGGAGAAATCATAAACCAAAAAGGAAAAGAAGCTAACCTAAACCCCGGGATCGGCTCCGTGGAGTTGCTTGATCCAGGTTTGGATCTGCTCCATCTCGTCCTGCAGCAGCAGCACGTCCAGGCAGCCCTTGAAGTAGTCCGACGTGAAGCAGTTCTTTCTGCAAAGGTCCAACAACAACGTCAACAACGTCCATCGACTTGCGTTACCTTCCGAGCACAGGTGCGTTAAACGCTCCTGGGAAACCTGCACCGGGTTTGCCGCATACGCGTATGCAAAGTAAATGGTCAACGCCGACCGGTCCCCTTACACCGGCCGGCACTTTGCAACTTTTCTCCGAGAAAGGGCATCGCGGCCTGGATGCACTTTGCAACTTTTCGAGGGGAAGGGGACACCTTTTGGCACGGTGAAAGGTGCAAGTAGAAAGTACGAGTAGGTACCATGCCACCGGAGTTTTCCTCGCGTTCTTTTACCTCAAGAAGACTTCATTTTTAGAGATCCAAGGGTATACAGAATTTCGATACTTCTGGGCCATTCTGCTATAAATTTCTAAATACATGAATTTAATTTAATATAATACAGATCATTTTCTTTCTTTGCAAAACCTTGGTTTTGCAAAGGAAGGGAGCATCACGATGCTGAAGATAAAGGCTCTAAATAGAGCGCGGTCGATTCGAGAATTAAGGTAATAGAAAGTGGCGTCCAAGAAGTCTAAATGAAATTTTTCCCCGAACAGAATATTAATTCTTAAGGTGATGTGAAAGTGGCGTCGCAGAGGTTTTGTTTATAAAACTTTTCTCCCAACTCGGTTTACCGAATAGTTTGAAACCTTACAACGTGAATAGGGAGACTATAAGGAAGGTCCTGAAATTCATGAAATTTCAATTCTTTTCAAATTTATTTACAGGTATTTTAAAAATAGTTGATAAAAAATGAAATTTCACGAGTTTCAGGACCTATCTTAGGGTCTCCACATTCACGTTTTAACGTATGAAACGATTTGAGAGACTCAGTTCTATGAAAAGTTATATGAACGATTGAGCTTTCGGATGCCACTTTCACATCCCGTTAAACATATTGTCAATTCACTCCGGAGAATTTAATTTCAGCCTTTCGCAGTACCTTGAAATTCCTGATTAAACGGCAAACAATTCGGTACACCCAGTTCATAGACGACTTCCGTATCTCCTTAAAGGACTGATCGATCGGAAAATGCGTAAAGAGCGAGAACCTCGCGTGGAAAAATTGCAAAGTCCCCGGCAAGTGTTTGGTCCCGAGTGGGGCCTCGTCACCAAGTGCCACGTGTAATCCCTTTGACAAAGCCGCCTCCTCGAGGGAGGTCTTTGTCGAGGTGGAAACGTCGTGAAGGAAATCTCGGATTTACCGAGAGCCAGGTGACGGGCCTCGGTGCGGCATTGCAGGCGTGAGTGTCGTACGTGCAACATACATGCGCGCTACGTGCACGCGTACGCACGCATACATACGCGTACTTACACGGTACACGCGGATGCACCGCGCCGGTGCGCGTACTCGTACGTGTACTCGCGCCTCGAGTACAGGTAATAACGGATGTGTGCTGGCATTCGCTCTTGCGAGCTATAAATAGAAGAGAAATCTCATTCCGTTTCGTTACGCGTGCCGGCGCGGAGCGGAGTACGTAGGTACGCGGTCGATGCGTGCACTCGCACGTACGTGCCATCGAGAGGAAATAAAAAAAGGAGGGGAAACCAGCTCGAGCGATTAATCTCAGGAGCGACCTCGAGGTTTTCGAGGAAAAGCCCTATCTAAAAGGAAACCCGCCGAGGCCGATAAGCGTTACTCGTAGCGTCGATTTTTAATCGATAACAATTGATAACACCCCCGGGAATGATCACCTTTCCTCGTAAGCCTCGCCTCGGTTGTTGGGATTTCTTCATTAATAATTCATATACATACAGATAAGAGTTAATAGCTCAATTTCATATCTTTCAGAGGATCGCAGGGATCATCGCTCGACCTTTTCCCTGGTCTCCGTCCGTCAAGGTGTGCGTCAAGGTGTACATCAAGGTGTACATCGAGGTGTACATCAAGGTGTACCTACCGCATGCCATGTAACACGGCGGGTACGTATCGCGCGTACACGTCTGGGATCGTCCACGGATCTCTCGAGGTGCTCACCTGCAGAGCGAGTGCAGCTGCGGCTCTCGGAAGAGATTGTAGCAGTCCTCGCAGATGCGGTCGAGTCGAGCGAAGAGGCTCTTGTCGTACACGCCCTTGCACTGGATGTCCATGAAGGACCGTTTGCCGAGAGGATGCCCCATCAGGACTCCGGCGTCGGCCAGGCCCAAGCAGGAGGACACCAGAAGCAGGGCGACCGTCCAGGCGAACACGGGAACCGGCCAGGAGGACCTCGACGAGGAGCTGGACCAGGTCGACGGCGAGCTGGAAGACGTCGTCGACGTCGGCGACGTGGACGACCACTGGGACGAGGCGCTCGACTGTCTTTGCTGGCGATACATCATCTGAAACCGGAGGAACGATACTCTTTAGGACCTAAGAAAAATATACCTCATTATATCTAGTCTCGTCAACACATTCGCGACCGCTGACGTGAATTAACGTCATTTTAAATCCCACTCCTGATTGCCGCTGACGTGAACTCACGTCCATAAAGTTACACGGTACAAGTTTGCGGCAACCAGTCACAGAAATTCATTATTTTCGACGGTACTCAGTATTTGAAAGGGAAAAAATTTGCTGCTAGCGAATGTGTTAATGAGCGCGTTAGACGATAGAACGAGATAGAGAGCGGAAGAGGGATTCATTTCGTTAGAAAACTCGATAAGGACCCCATGGTCACCTGGCCGTTACCTGGTTCTCGGTCTCGTTTCTTCGACATGGACGCGGGAGACGCTTTAATTAATTCGGTTAGGTGAATTGGGGATTTCGCGGTCTTTTATGTACCGTTTTTTTAGGTAATCTCGGCCAGATCGCGCGGTAAAGCTCGACGGATCTCGACGGATCTCGACGGGCGGAACGGGCCGAAATCGGAGCACCGGGCCTAACGGGGTCCTTTTAAAGGTCCTGGAGCGAGAGGAGTCCTTTCGTTGCGTCATCCTCTCCTCTCCGATCTCGGTGACGTTGGCCAGGTACGGGTACAGGTAGGCGAGCACGACGACTATCGTATTCGCCGATCTGGCCCGGAGAGGAGAGAGAGAAGAGACGAGGTGACGAAGCCGGGACACGGTGACACCGAAATCTCGTTTTCAACCTGTGCTTAGGACGACTCGTGACATCACCGGGGCCCCTGTATCATCGGGCGTCCGCTTATGCACCGCTCGAGATAAAAGAAAAAAAAAAAGGAAGGAAAGAAACGAACTCGAGATTTTTTCAGAATTCGGCAGACGTCTCAGTTTACGTCTCCAAATATACCTCCCGCGAAGCGAGTCATCGGGACGCCCCTTCGTCATTTTCCTCTATATCGTCTACGCCCTAGAATTGATTAAGGTGATGCGAAAGCGGCATCAAAGAGGTTTCGTTTATGAAACTTTTCTCCGAATTGACCCACGTAATCACTTGGAATTTTACGACGTGAATATCGAGGCTATAAGGAAGGTTCAGGACCTTCCTTATAGCCTCGACGTTCACGTTGTAAAGTTTGGAGCCATTCGGTGCACCCATTTCGGAGTAAAGTTTCATGAACGATTGACCGTTCGGATGCCACTATCACATCCCCTTAACCGTTTGAGTGCCACGTGTCTTTGCTGTTTTCCCGTCCAAAAGTGCCAAGGAGCTCTTTTTCGCTTTTCTTATTCCCCCTCCAAAAGTGCCAAGCGGCGCGATAGCGCTTGTCTTATTCCCTGATTGAAAATGCCAAGGATCGCTATTGCGCTGTATTCTGCTCTATACGGTAAGCGGTAATGTTCGACTGAAATTAAAATTCGTTCTTTTACCTGTCTCATTCTTTTACTTTTACCTAAAATGGAATGGTAACCGTAAAGTCGCGCATTGACGGAAACCGAGCGTGTCGCGGTTATCGGCTTCGCAGTGTAGAACACTGGCGCTGTTCGAGCGACACAGAAGAAGCGCAAAATCGCTCCTTGGCACTCAAACGGTTAAGTAGTCAACCCCAAAGTCTGTAAATCCTCAATTACCTAGATTCGCATCGACGACATAAACACCGGTCTTTATTTCGAATCGACGGCGCCGACTAATTTTCAGTAATTTTGTAAAAATAGGCCGGGCGTAACGATTCGTTAACGGGGATTACAGAGAAATACGGCGATTGGTCGTGGCAGAAAGGGGCCCGGGGGCCCGCGATCGCATCTCGGATGCAAAACGCGGCGTTTTCCGCGCGGCTCGCCGGTCCCAGGAGCAAAAGGGCGTACATATGTGTATATATATCCGGAGAGGATGTAAAGCAACTCCTAACCAGTCCCGGCCGCTGTGAATGGACCACACGCAGGTGGGCCCCACCTGTAAACGTCCTGAACCGACAACTTCATTAACCGGGCCCCTTGCACGACCCACCGTTGGGCCCTCCCACCCCCGGGGGGCCCCGCCGCGGCGTTTCGCCTCGTTTCGCCTCGTTTCGCCTCGTTCCACCCGTCCCTCTCGTCCTTTTTCCTTTCGGGACATAATCGCCGCTCCCGGGTGGGATCTTATTTTTAGCCGGGCCCGATTCTCAGAATGTTTGCGCTGCTATCTGCGGCCCCCCTCGGGCCCTCCCCTTGCCGGCGTTCCCGGTCTCCTCTCTCTCCGGTAATTGGCTCGCGGTGATAATTTGCCCCGAGTGCCTCGCGATCGTTAAACCACCTCTGGTACCCTTTCGATCTCGAGAGTTAGGGCCCGATCGCGATCGCTCCCGAGCGATGGCTAATGGCTAGATAAGCGCCTAGGAAATGGTAATAGAGGGCCCGACAGCTGGAGGGGCTTCTCCTCGGACTAGCGGGCCCGATGAGTTACCAATCTGCACCTGCTCAATTTATACCTTCGGCTGGTTTTTACCCGAGAATCGATTAACTCGCGTTGTCGTTAAGTACCGACTACCAGATAACGGAGAGGGAAAAATGAAATCCAAGATAAAAGGGCTCCGAACAACGACGAGCAGCGGTTCAGGGATAGATAGAGTTGGCACGTCGTGGGATGGAGTACATATCCCGGTCGGAAGAATCGCGCAATCATTCAAATTCCACCAAATTCCGACTACGGACCATCGATAAACGGATGTTACCTCGGATACGTAAAGTTAATAGCTAATACCCGAGAATCGATTAATTCGCGTTGTCGCTAAGTACCGACTACCAGATAACAAAGAGGGAAAAATAAAATCCAAGATAAAACCGCTCCGAACAACGACGAGAAGCAGTTCATGTCTGGATAGAGTTGGCACTCCGTGGGATGGAGTACATCCCGGTCCGATAGTTTGAAACGTTACAACGTGAATAGGGAGACTACAAGGAAGGTCCTGAAACTCACGAGATTTCAATTCTTCTCAAATTTCTTTATAGGTATTATAAAAATAGTTTATAAAAAACGATATTTCGGGAGTTTCAGGACCTACCTAAGGGTCTCCGTATTCACGATTTAAAGTATGAAACGATTTGAGACCCCCAGTTCGTGGACAAGTTTTATGAACGATTGATCTTTCGGATGCCACTTCCACATCCCCTTAAGCCGCGTTTTGACACCTCGCGTCCGTGAGGGGTAGCTGGATCGGGCCCGGGGTCCCATTAATCCCGGGGCCCTCGGGCCGTTTTCGCGCTGGGAGAGCGGCAACGCGGGCCGATAATGACAACGACGACGTCTCGGGGTGACTTAAGGAGGAGAAGTTTCTCGCTCGGCGGGATATCCGTGCCATAGACCGGCTTCGTTCGGCTCTCGCGAATGGCTTTAAGCGACTTTATATTTAGCTCGCGGCCGCCTCGGCGTGGGATACGCAAGACGTGGCGCGGCCCGACGAGGAGGGGCTTGGGCCCAGGGCGGAGGGGGCCTTGCGGCCCCGCTCAGTCGGAGTGGGGGCCTCGCGGAGGCTCGTACACGGTTCTTATCCGCCTCGCGTATCTTATAAGAGAGAAAGGAGGTAGCGCGAGGGGGGCCCGAGGGGGCGGTCGGGGGTAAATAAAGAAAAAGTCAATGGGGACCGGTTGCTCGACAGGTGAGGTCTTTCCTCGGCTCGGCCACGCACAGGTGTGCAATCTGCAAATCCCCCGTGGCAAAAAGCCACACGCGAGCGGCCGAGCGAGCGAGCGGCGAGCACTCGCCGAGAGCGCCGGCCTGGCCGTCTACCGCTACTACTGCCGCGATGCTCGCTCCTACCGGCCAGGACTACTACCACCGGGACAATGCCTTTCTTTTTCCTTTCTTTCCGCTCTAAGCGCGCCGGAGCGGCTGCGACCGACCGCACTCTCCGGATACCCTTGACTCGAGTGCCACCGACTGAGGCGCGTCGCGGCGACCCGCCCAGTGGACGACGCCTAGATCGAGGATACCTTCCCTTTCCGGGACCGCCGAGGAAGCGAGCAACTAGGGATGTTCGATTCCGATTAGATTTTTTAAAAAAACCATTCTTTTGGCGAAAGAATCTCATTTTTAGAATCGATTCTTTCCTATTCGATTTTCTTGACAATCGGTTCTTTACCCTCAGACTCGAGAAACCGATTCATTTTGACAGAAACGGCATAGGGGGGAAATTCGCTTCCCTCCTCGGTTGCTGTTTGTCGCTACAAGATTGGCTACTGAAACTCAGCGTCGTGACGCACTTCCGTCAACTGACTACCTGACTTTCAACAGCCAATCAGAACCTCTCATTTACTCCGTCGACCATCTCGGCCGGAAATATTGGCCAAAGGGAGAGCTAGAGCAGACGTATAATTGGTATATAAACGGCTATATAAACGTATAATTGTTTAGTTTTTTTATGTAACATTCATTTCATTTTCGTGGATGGCTTTCGACACGGAAAAATGTGTTAATTAAATTTCTCTTAATTATATATAAATAATTTCCGATTTTTAAGGGAATCGATTCTTCATGATCCGACTCAGAATCGATTCTTCTAAGAGAATCGAACATCCCTACGAGTTTTTTTTATAAAACATTCATTTCATTTTCGTGGATGGCTTTCGACACGGAAAGATGTGTTAATTAGATTTGTGTTAATTACATATAAATAATTTCCGATTTTCAAGGGAATCGATTCTTCATGATCCGACTCAGAATCGATTCTTCTAAGAGAATCGAACATCCCTACGAGCAACCGGGCTCGTTAATGCGTGATTCATTAATACTCCGTAAACGGGGGGGCCGCGAGAAAGCTGTTACGCCTGGCTCGAGAGCGCTCATCGAAGCCACCCGACTTTCGAGCGAAACTCCTCGCCCGCCGACTCGCTACGCGTTAATCGGTGAAATCCACCCAAGCCGTGGAGCTCGATTCTAGGGCTAGTCTCGCGGTAATTTCTCGAATCTCGATTAGCGAGGAAAAATATGAAATCGAGTCGGGGACCGTGGGTCCGCCCAAGGT